CCTTAATTCTCATCATCAACTGTCAACTCATTCGTCTGCCCCTGTGCAGAATTCGATCAACTCCACCGCTTTTCCTCTCTGACCTGTCCTAAAAAGTACACAGCCATGCGTGACAACATTCCAGTTGTGTAGGCTACCCCACCGTGCCTCAGCAATTACATGACATCCTTCCATGCCTCAGTAATTGCAAGTTGTCATTAAGATTATCCATGCTAGGAGATGATCCATTCAGTTTCTGAGGCACTGTGCCTGGCCTGAGAAATGTGGTGCTGCTTTCCAGCTCACCCACAGCAGAGGTGGACGTGGCAGTGCACATCTTCTGCTTGGACACAATTCCCTGTTCAAGCAAGCCAAGAAAATCCCTATCAGCCCACATTCTGTGTGCATGGCAGTCTGAAAATTGGTGTGATGAACTGTGCAATTTCAGCATCTGTAGCCGCTTCCAGAGTTTTAGTCATCTTTCACTCAGTTGGAAAAAAACATCTAATGCTTTTCTCCTGTAAGGGAGTTCTCTTGTTCTAAAAAGTTTTCTCCAGGCATGCAGCTTGGATTTCTGTAACAACTAGTGTTTGGAAGCAATGAGACAAATATTTTATAAATTAACAACTAATCAATATATTAATATTGGAATAAATAATTTATAGTAGGAATTTAAGTTACAGGAATAACTAAGAAATCTCTAATTAGATACCAATACTGTTATATGGTAGAATATAAAAATGAGGTAATTTTGAAATAACTGCAGGAATGTTGTAGCCAGTTGCACAAACAAGAAGATTGGGTGTGTCAGATGACATTTTCTGTGGAAGGTTTCCCTTCTTTACTTTGCTTCCAGCTCCCTTTCCCCAAATCAGTTTCTCCAAATCAGTCCTTTTTCTAACATCAGCAGGTTAACAGCCTCCCTGTATTTCCATTAATCCTTAATTTTGGAACAACCTTATTCATAGTAGTGGCTATGCTTGATTCTCAGTGTTCCAAAGAGCATAATGAACTGTGAAAGAAGGGTTTATCTGAAGGTATTCCTGTTCCACACTTCTGCGCTTGCTGCCGGCTCATAGCTATCAAGTATTCTTTTAAGATTTTTCTGTCAACTTCCATTTTGTTAAAAGCTACTCAAATGCTGAGTACAAACTCCAAACTTTGTCTCCTATGAAGATGTAAGACAGGTTTTGCCTGACTGTGGGATCTAGCTGCACCTTTCTGTGCTAGTATATGAAGGCAAACACATATTTCAATTACCTTACAACTCTGGATTTTTAGTGCCCATCTCCAAAAGCATTAAATCTCCTGTGATCAATGAGGGATTTTTGCTGACTGCTGTCTAACCTCTTGCAGCACAGTGCTGGACTCCAGGACTGTGGATAAAGCACAATCTGTGGAGTCATCTTGCTGTCAGGTGCTGCTACCCTGCAGAGATATCTGCTGAATCACCCTGGCTTGATTTAAGCACTCAGCCCCACATGCAAGAGCTTGGAGAACCAAAACCGAGGGAAGGGATTTTACCAGAGCTGCCAAACAGATGCACTTGACACTGGAGAGCAAGCTTAGGCTGAGATCTGTAACTGGCATTAAAACTGTCTGTGTCTTCTGCCCTTGGGTGGGTATTAATGGAAACTGCTCTCACTGGGTGAGATGGCAGACATTGACAGCCTAATCTGAGATATGAGACTTCATCTGTCAATGGCTTTTCCTGCAGGGGAGGAAGAAGTTGGATCATTGCTAAGCAGAGTCTTGGTACTAAATAGCTTATGTGCTTCTTAATTAATTTGTTCTGTCTCAAGGCATGTTAAGTACTATGCATGAGGTACATATAGAAATTTCCTTGTGAAATCACTGTGTGGAGTAAAATTCCTTCCCATATTTGTGTGGTAGAAGTTGTGTAATTAAAGAGGCGACTAAAGTTGGTCCAACAACTACCACCAGCTCAGATGCTTTAATTCACCTTCAACTTCTTTATCTACATTTTAAGCTATGCACTGTATGTGGCAGTGAATTCCTTATTTGCACACTTAAAATGTACCAGTGCCTTTGTGCAACAGGATACAGCAAATAAAAATGTTAGGATAAACAGGTCAAAAAGAGTATCATAAATGTAATCAGCACTCATCAGTTGAAAGTCTTTGAAAAGATTGGTGGCATCAAGTTCACACTGAACAAATCACAGTGTTTTCTACCAGTATCTGAGCAAACTGAGTGATGGGAGGAATTTGTTCTCTTGAGTGGAGCAGTATTCACATTTGACGCTAATGGGAATATTCACATCAGAAAGGCTGAAAGGCACACTCTGGGCAAGAGACAAACAAAATTTGCTGCTGCCAAGTTTGGCCTTCAGCCAAGGGTGCAATTAAAAACAGAAACACCACTTTTTTATCTTCCCTTGCCATCTCTGAATAAATTCTTTGATAGGTGGGAAATGAAAAGCTCCACATTGTATGAGCAAGATGAGGTCTCTGGTCCAGAAAATTAAAATATTTTAAAATTCTAAGATTTTGCTATGAGGATTTTTATAATTGTTCATAATTTTCATAATGCTTAGAAAATCATATTTCAGACTGGCTTCCCTGAGAATGTATATGCATACGTGACCTTAAAAAAAACACACACACACAAAAAAAAACCCAAACCAAAAACAAACAAACAAACCCCAACCAAACAAAAAAATACTGTCTGTCCTCTCCCTTTTTCTGGGTGAGTGAGACAGGTGACTAAGACACTGCAGACCACTGACGTTCCATTCCCTTCTCCTGCTTGCCAGGTCTCTCTCACAAAGCAAGCGCAGTGCCACCTTAAGTGCCACCTTGAGGGATTGCCAAGGAATAGGTATTGTCTGTGCAATTCAGTAATCCCACAGATAATTGGCATTCCCACACTGAAAAAGTCATCTAAAGCAGTGTGCTTCCAAGCCTGGCTGCAGCATTCTTTGTTTGCTACCAAGTTTTCCTTCACCAGGATTTTACGCATACTGAATTTAAAAAAACATACCGAGGGAGGGAGGAATCAGTGTGTGCATGTGGGAAGCATACAGAAAGACTGGAAAATAACCTTTGGAAAATGTGAGTCTGAAATGCTTCCAAGATCTCTGCAAGGAGAGTTGTCCCAGTAACAAAATGGAGCATTTAGGAAGAAAAAAGGGCATTTAAAAAAACCACGTTCTTTTACAGTGATACAGTAGGTAAGCAATGGAATTGGATTAGGTTCTACTAAAAACATAGCAGGAAGAGAAAAAACAAAATGTGAAGACAAAAGCCAGGATTTATCATGGAGATGTCATACTACAGTCCAGGACAGCCATGGATCAACAACATTTTCTCCACAGTTAAATACTAACTCACTTTAAGTAAGTGCTAACTCAAATCACCAAAAACTATTTCTGTATTCAAATTCCTGGCACTATTTGACATTAAGCTGTAACTTTCAGAAGCAGCATAGGCATGTCTCATCCTTTCATAGATATCCTGAGTGCACATGCATCTTCAGGGAGCATGCTGGGAAGAAAATGATGAGCTGATAATGCCGAAGGGAATTAGGATCTAAAATGATGCAAAAAAAGTTTTTTGCATCATTTTAGAATCTTTTCCCATACTAAAGGATGAAAAGTTGGCCTGATGGCCGTGGCTGGCCACTTTAAGTATCATTGTGCAGTTTAAACATGCATTTATAAAACTGATTAGAAATTAGCAGAATAATCAAATATTGAATGCCAAATTATTAATTTAGTAATAGCAACCTAAAGAAAAAGCTCTGTAAACCACATTTCAAAAAGATGGTTATGGAATAAACTCAATATTCTCCCCACTACGCAAAGTTCACATACAAGTACTTCACAACAGATTTTATTTTCTGCAAACAAGATGCATCTGCTTTACTGACCTTATGTATGTTTTCAAAGGTAAACACAGACAAATTAGAAAAAAAACCCTAGTAGACCTTTCTGTTACTCCAAATAACGTGTTCATTCATCAGAAGGAGGAATATAAATATAAAAATATCAAAGAAAAGCAAAGATGGTTCAATTAAGGAACATAGCCTGATGATTGTAGAATGAACCTAAGAGCTGAGAGAAGTGAGGTGTCACAGTATGTCTATCTGCAAGTCACCTTGAGAATACTGAATGAATATAGTTCTACAAATCAGACACTTGGCTGTTCTGTGCAGCTGTGAAGTGGGTGAAATATTTTTTTCAGGATTTCATGAATTAGTTCATTTAGTAGCTTCTGCCAGTGAAATGCATTGTTAGGCAACAAAGAACTATCCCTGCAGACATAATGGGACCATACTACACCAGAAATGTTTTTACCTCAGGGTTAAATTGTCACGTTAAAAACATCAGTCTTGAATACAGGGCAATGTCTAGCTGTACTCCCTAACTGCAAACCAATCTACAAACTGTGTATCAGTAGGAAACCCTCTGTTAATTCCCCATGGCTCTGAACTGGTAATTAGGTATTGAGTACCTTGGGTAATCAGACACTTTGGCAGGGCTTCTGTTTCCTTGAAGGTATAGCTCCAAGAACACACCACCTCTGCCATCAGTCCTTCATGTCTTTCCCATCTGTTTTTTCAATGCAGGTGCATTTGCCTTGTACTTACCCACTTGACTGCAACTGCAGGTTCATGATCTGTTCCCTTCTACAACAAAGGGACTGTTAACTTCTACTATGCAAAGTGTTCTGGGTATACTTATGAGAGTTTTTATTAACAGCAGCTAGAATGAGTATCATAGTGGAACTACCCACTTTTCCTGCTTATGTAAAGATACTAAAGTCATCTGGAAAATACTGTTCTTACTGTGGGGCAAATTACTCAGCTCCCATTTAGCAAAAAATTTCTCTGACTGTAATATTGGGTCTTAGATAGCGATCAGTATCCAGGACAAATTAACCAAAGCCTGGACAGCTATAATGAACAAGAATCCTTATGTGGATTTGCTGACTGAGCAGCACCTTCACAAACAAACTGGCAACCACTGCTGCTACTGTTGAGAAGAAACTTCTTACAGGTTGGCCTTTTTAATAATGGATTTTTATTGCATTTCCAGATGACATTATTAACCCACGTAAACAGGAATTTTACTTTGCACATAATAGAAAGTGTAAACAGAAATTTGAGCATCAGTATATGCTCACTTCTTCAATGGGAGCCCAGCACTCGCCTTCCAAATAAAAAGTCCTGTTGTCTTCAATTTGCACTTCCATTCTGAACCATTTGTAGATACTCCTTGTGTAGCTTTTCTTGGGTTTCATAAAGTTTCTTTAGCTTCTTAATTTGTCCTTTGCTAAGTTCTTTGCCTTCGGTATCATGGGTGGGAAATCCCTGAAATATATTAAAGAAAAAGAGTATTTAACTTAAATTCTTGGACCGCTTTTGTTCTTTATGGAACCATGTTTTAATAAGATAGGGAGATAATGTCATAATGACAGGCTGTCAGGAAGGAGTGTATCTAATTTTAGTCACCTAGAAGTTTGACAGCTAACTTTGACTATTTCTGAATGTTCTCTTCCTAGCTAAACAAGAGGCATAAGGGTGTATTTATCTTCTGTCCTGAACCACATAAGGGAAGCTTAGACCACTAACTTCTAGATGGTTTTAGTTAAGAGAATAATGACTAATTCCTGAACAGATGGTTAAAATAATCTTTTAATCATACTAGCAGATTGAATTAAAGGCTTAAAGCAAAAGCAGCAAGACATTTATATTCTTGATGGAGAAAGTATGATCAGCATTTTTATGGACATTCTCCTTCGCTTGCAGGATTATTTTCCAGTATTTATCCTCTCCAATCTGACTTGTCCCCAGAGCTTGAATTTGTGTAGGTGAAGGGGAGAGGCAGAGGCAGATCAATGACCCAAATCAAGTAGAAGTGAAGAAACAGTGCTTTAAGTTTTCCAAGTAACCCTTTTATCCCCAAGGGGAGCAATCAAGAGCAAAGTTATGCATACAGCCCCTTCAGAGAGCCTTTGCCAGGAGAGAGCAAAACAGTGGGCAGAAGGGAGCAGGAGACACAGGACCTCTCCAAAACACGTCACTTCTGGCAAGCTGGGGAGTTTGTACTTGCAAATGAATACCCTGTCTTGCACCAGAGTAGTAAATCTGTGAATTAATATCATACACATTCCTACTCACAATATATATTTTGCTTTGCAATAAGGGGAGCCAAAGGAAATGTACAATGACTGTACAAAGGAGCATAGAAGGAAAATACCCTTGAAATGATGGCTAACAGGGACCTTGCTCCACAGTGCACAATAATATTCATATATACCACTTTTTCTTCCTCTCCTTCCCTCCTCTTGCTACGTTAATAGCACTGCCCTGGAGGTTTGGAACAAGATTGCTATAAAAATATACAAATAAATATGTACAACCGGGGAAGGAAAACCACTCCCTATATGAAGAAAAGCCTCTTACATTTTCATCAAACATGGAATATTTGTCAAGCTCCAATTTAAACATTTCATGTGGTGGAATCTTCATTTTTTCCAGTTTTGCTGCCTGTAATACAAAACATGCATTAACATCACAGTTAATTACTGACAACCTGTCACATATGCAAAAGGAAAGGTAGACTATAATTTCAAAATCAAGGAACATTAAATTCATAATTATTTATTATGTAAAAAGAAACTTGGAGTGAGGAACAACTCAGTAGGTCTTACCTGTGCTTGTCTGGGGAAAAAACTGGTTTAAATCTGTAGAGATCCACTTTATAAAGCACATGCATTGCAGAAACTTAAAATAATTTGCTTATATACTCCAAAAATTACACCTGATTCTTGCTAACTTGGTTCTTTAGTCAACACAAAGTGAATAGCTACTATCATAAAGAATATTCAGAAATTAACTCACTGCAAAGGGAACCACCTTTATCAAGTTTCCTGCTGACAAGCAAAGGTTTCTATGCAGGTCACAGAAGAATCATATGCAGTAATTGCACTAAAAACAAACTGAACTTTCCCTTGTCTGTAAACAAATACATCTCAGAATCTTTTCCATGTAATTTTTCCCCAATGCAAAGGAATCACCTTTTTGAAAAAATGAAAAAAGGTACTTGGAATTTGTGGATGATAAATGCTATTAATTTTAACTCTCTATGTGGTGCTCTCTAGATGTTTTCTTCCTTTTTTAACACAGGAATGTATTTCCTGTACTGTTAAAGTCATCAGCATGGCAAACAGTATTTTAACTTATGAGTTCATCTCCTCTGTCTATTCCCCATCCAAAGCCCAAAACCTTTGAGCTATCTAATTCCAATCACAGAGATAAAACATTTCCCTGCTCAATCACAAGGAACAGAGGATTTCTTACAGAGAAAAAGACAAAAAAAGGAGAAAAAGAAAACCTTTTCACATAAACCTATGATATTAGAAAGGGAATAAAATAATAAATGTCACTAGCAAAATCTTCTCCAACTGTAACAAGCATGTAAGATACAACTTTGTCAATTAAGGAGGTAATACCATTTATAGACTGAAATTAAGTGCTACAAGTTCTTCTGCAATAAGTTTATGCAGGCTTTAGTTGTGTTTTCAAAAATGGCTTCTCTATAAGAACTGAATGTCCAATTCTGAACTGCAAGACAAAGCCATTCTGAGCAGGAAATTGTACACAGAAAAAAGAAATGGAGACCTGTTTAAGGCTGGGCAGAAGGCCTGTGTTCTAATGTTCTTTCCTGCACGTGATTACTGCTGCCTACACTTTCCTTCAAAATCAGGTTACTTACTTCCTGCTGTTGTTTTTTCCTGGCTGCTTCTTCCTTCTTCCTTTTTTTCTCTTCTTCTATCTGTGAGAGGCAGTGTTAGTGAGTAAAAGGCAATGTACTATTTCATTTGAGTTTTTTTCTACAAACCTGAGCCAGCTCCCCTGGATATCTAATTACAGACAGAACTGATAGCATGACCTGCAGCAAATCCACCATGCCTTATAATTAGGATTATCAGATACTCCCCACTGTATGACTTTGATTTCATTTGCTTTTATTCAGAGTTAAACCAGTTTTAACTGTTCAGAATGCATTTTGCATGCAAAGTGGGTACCTATAAAAGAATACCTAAAAGAAATTGTTCTATCACTTTGCAAATGACTCTTAAAAAGACTGTATTTCAATGATATTTTAAGCTCTTGCCTCAAACTGTGAAGATATCACAGTTCCTTAAGCAGCAGTTGTATCACTTGATGTTCCTAGGGAAACAACTATCCAAATTTAGCCAACTTGCTAAAAATCCCATCTTGCACTTGCCCAGGAAAGACCTGTCAGTTCTCCAAGGGTTCTGCCAGTACTGAACATAATGCTGTTTCTAAGGAAAAGGAACTCTAGCTGCAGGTCCTACCCAGCAGCTACAAACAAACTGCCTTCAATGTCACTCTGATGAAAACATCTGGAATTGACTAAAATGACTTTTTACTTCTCCCTTTTCTGAAAAACATCAACATGGAAGGAGAAATGTTGGAAAGTCTTCCAAATGTTTCTAATCATGATAGAATTTTATTATTTAGTAAAATTGAGGACGGACATATGAAATATTACTCTTAAATATTACAACGTCAAATATCAATGCTAGGAAGTGCCAAAAAGCAGGGTTTCTGTATAGACCTTGTGCATGTGAATTCAAATTCACAAGCTTTATAGAGTAATACGAATTCTTTCCCCCACATCCTGAATATCTCACTAATCCATACTAAATTAAAATTTAGCCAGTACATTTTTTCCTCACTTATCAGATGAAGACAGAGTAGTTCTATGGAAAATGCTGACTTCAACTGTACAAACAAAAGAAGTCTGAATTAGCTTCCCATTGGAATTGTTCTTCCAGAGAGATAATACAGTTGGAATGCAATACTGTACATCCCTTAATTATATGAAGATCTTAAAAAGCAAACAAATAAAAAATCTTAGAGTTATTCACTAGGTCAAAGTCACAAAATTTTCAAGAAGCTGTTTCGAAAAATTCTTTTTTCCAACGCACTTAAATTTTTGTATCAATTATGTCATCTTCCTTGTTGCTATTCTGCTATGATTTTTCTTATGAATTATCAAAGAAATGTAAAAATATCCATAGCTTATACATTACTTTAAATTTAAAAAATATAGTATGCTTAAAATAACTACCTTTTTCTTTTCTTCTCTTTCTTTCAATAATGTGTCCTTATCCACTAATTTAACCACAGTTGGAAGTCCTAAAGAAGCAAAAAGAGATGGATTAATTTCTTGATTAGTCGAAGATAAATGTATTCACCCTGTGATAATTGTTTTCTTTTTGCATGCTGAATGTAAATACAACTCAGTGGCTATTCAAAAGTGACTAAGAAATTAGGTGCTATACAAAAAAGTGGAAATTATTGCAATGTATGCTTTTTTATTCTGTACATGTATTCCAATATACAGTTCTGTAATATATATTCATACATATTATACACCATTATATATGATACCTATTACGTGCCATTGTCTATAGCACATACAATATGCTACAGCTCTGCAATACTTGAGTTTACTGAATTCTTCAAAACTAGTTTCTACAGTTTGTTTTCCCACTTCTTAGAATAAAAGCAAGATTATAAAAACAGCTCCTACAAAGTTTCAAGAGATAACTGGGTACCTTCATGATCTTCAAATCGAACTCCAAGTTCTGGCAGGATGTCATCCCGAAGAGCATCACTCAACTGCAGCACTTCAGTTACTACAAAGCATGAAAAATACTTTTAGTGAAGTAAAATCTGGCCAAAGTATACTTTTATCCAGCTACATATTTACTTAAGTGCAATTAAGAAATTACCTCTCTCTCACACAGAGAGAGAAAGGTCTTTCTTTTAAAGTGATAAGTAAGTCCTGCCTGACTTCAGCCACAGAGAAGCAGCATGTTTCTTTGCATGGACTTGAAAATCATAAATTTCTTCCAAAATACCCTCACTGTTCCTGAAGGGGAACAGAAAGAAAATCCAAGGCAATTCAGAAATGATGCAACAATTCTGCCAGGGTATGGTGAAAGGCTATATGACTCAGGAAGTTCCTAATGGTTGCTGCAGGATGTGCAATAAGAAAGGTTAAAAACCTAAGTTTAGAAAAAACACAAATTAACATATCCTGTGCTAAATCTAACAGTGCCCTTTGAAGGACTATGATTTAGTTGATTTGATAACTACACATACATTTGTCAGAGGAACTGTAATCCCAACATCCTCTTTTTATTTCAAGCAATCTAGTTGCAGCAGAACAGAGAATTTTGGTTTGGCTTTCTGCATGGTGATCAGGACATCATGGCTAATATTTTTTTTACCCTTGAAAACTTATCAAAGAGCCTTTGATGACAGCAAATAGTTGAGAACTTATGATTTATCTGAAATATATGCTATCAGCTCTTCAGAGGAAAACAAACCTTCATACAAGATAATTTTTTGGATGAGAAATTGTATCAGTTGAGAAGCAGAACAGTTAAGAGGGACTAAATATATCAAAGAGACCCAGTATGTTGCTGTTGTGAATTCAGTGGCATTTTTCATAGGCAGGCTGGTATTTGGGAAGAACACTTAGCAAGTGTAACAAATGCTCTCCCTTTCAGCAATTCTTAGCTGATTAAACCTAAGAAGTACTCAGGGTCTCAAAGTTACTACTTCAGGCAGTGGAGGCTTCCATCCAGCCAATTTCCTAAACACTGCACATTCTGGTAAGTACAAGTACCATCCCTGAGCCTTCATCTCTGCCACAATTCTCAGAGAGCTACAAGTGAACAGCACTGACTATCCCAAAACCATAAAAAGGAACACCCTGTTTCAGTGCATGGTTGTGTTCTGTGGCTCTCTCTTTGCACAGGAAGCCACTGCAGTGTATAGAACCTCTTTTGTCTGCCGTGAAACAGAGTCGTTGTTTCTCCTGATCTGGAGCAGTTACACACAGAGAACCACAGTCATTTGCGATGCAACCCTAAATCAGCCATTAAGATAAGCCAGGGATAAGATTACCTCACTGGCTGTTGACACTAAAAGGTGTTGGCTCTAACCTAGGCAAAGGAATTACACATATCATATCAAGACTGTATCAGAAACACCTACAGCTTTTTCATCAAAACAGCATCTGCACAGTTATAGATGTTTACTTATCTAAAATCATGAAAAATTTTAAGCTGAAGAAGAAGGAACCCAACAAGAAGAAATGTATAATGAAACATATTATTTACGAGAGGACACGTCCTCTGATCAATCCTGTCATCCAGAGGAGTCAGCACTGCTTAAGGCTGAAATGTGCCTGTTCCTTGCATGTGGCACTTCCAGAGCAAATGTGTTTAGGATTGGGTAGGGGGTTGTTTATGGGCTGCCTCAGGACATAAAGAGGCTCTCACTGATGAGAGTGACCAAGAAACCAGTGGGACAATGCCTTATCACCAGTGCCCATCAACATCCCAGCAGATGGACGCTCCTTGGGCTGGTGAGATTTCCCAGACCTCTTCACATTTTCTGTGAATTTCAAGCCAAAGAGTATTAGATGTGAAACAGATGTTGAGATGCTGTGAATCAGTACACTGTGATGGGAAGGAAAAAGAGGAGCTTGAAAAGCATGTGGAGAATGCTGGATGTAAAGACTGGCAGCAAAAGACAAGAGCAGGCAATGCTATAACAAGAGAGTTTGTCCCAGTTCTGGTCAACTCATGACATATTTGGAAGAGGGGAGAAGGTGTAGGGGGCACTGTGAGAATTATTAAGTCTGCAATTGAACACTACCTGTTCTGGATGAGGGTAACATTTTTGCAGAGTATATATATTTTGATTATTACTAAAACCCATAGCTTTAAAAAATAGTTATTCTGTGAAATGTTTTGTAGATACATTTTCAAAGTGCAAGTGTATGGATGGGGACATTTGTAATACTCTGCAGGTTTTACAGAGCCACATACTTTTTATTTAACATCTGAGAATACTTAAAGCAATACAGATTGTTTTAAATAATATTTAACACAACCCTGCCAGCAACAGGCTATGATGGGGAAATTCCCTTTGCCTTCAGCCATGCAGAGGCAATATCCCCAGACACTAATCAGAACAACCTTTACAGTAATTTAACGCTTCCCGCAAGCAAGAATTTAATGGGTAAAAGGAAAGAAATCAGTAGTATGTCAGTGCAGGCCCTGCCAACCACCACCCAGCTTCCATAGATCAAACAGGTTAAAAAAAAGGTGCCTCCCTGGTCAAATTGCAGTGCTCCATAGCCCAACCAAGCAGCAACTAGATCCAACTTGATTCTCACTGTCCAGTGTATTTCAGGCAAAAAAATCACTGCCTTCCAAGTAGGAAATTCAAGTGCCAGTAAGCAGTCTAGAGCCAAGTGTGCTCTAAAAATGATCTACAAGAAGCCCTGCGATATTTAAACCTTACCACTGCTAAAAGCAATGATCCGTTTAGCTCAACCACCATAAAGCAAGGGGGAGAAAAAGCTTCATATAAACAAGTATGTTAAATACCAGAAAGCTCACATTTTTGGCTGAGGATATACACACAAACCTCTTTAATTAATTCAAGTTACAGAAAATATTTACTATTGGAATTTATTACTAAGCCTATTTCTCAGCATCAATTAGGCCTGTAAGAGTTTGACAATAGTAGCAGAGTAGTCACACTGGCAAAAACAGTTTTGTGCTTTTAATGCAAATTTATCAGCTTTAGAAGGATTCCAAACAATAGCAGAATGAGAGTCCAGAGTCTTTTCCAGCTGAATAGGTTACCAGATACTCAAGTAATTTTATAACTCAGTGTAATATATGGGTTACTTGTATGTTTTATGTATAAAAAAAACTGCCCTGTTTTGCCTTAAAGTACAAATCCCAGTGTCAAAGTTTTAAGAAAACAAAAATCAAATACATGTTGAAGACATGCAGCATTCCACAGGGAACAGCAGAAAATACTAAGAGCTTCTCCATTAGGAAATATCAGTAAAATCAAAGAAAGCTTTATGGAACAACCTTTTTAACACTCTATAGTTCTGCTGCCAATACAGACAACCATGATCAAAGCTTTTCAAAGGGATTAGAAAACCTGAACCTGAAACTTCTAGCAAACTCCCAGGTGAATTCTCCAAAGAGAACACTCAATTACCATCAGGGGAGCTGTAATTCCAACTATGCTAACAAATAATAGTGAACATCTCAGGCTATTTAAATGCAGACACTATTACTGTGAAGCAACCTACACTTTTAAGAAAATGCAAGCTTCCTGGGGAAATCATGGGTACTTTCATACCTAGAAAGCAAGGAGCGCCCTAACCTAGAGAAACAGCAGCTACACCTCATCATTCCAGAACTTTTAGATTCTTTGAGAAATGAAAATTAGTTTAGCAGCCTAAAAAGATTCCCAAATTAAAGAGAGAGGCAGCAGAGATGCAAAAATTCAAAGCAGCTCTGATTTAAAGATGTCTTTTATTCTCTAAGCAAGGAGAGACTATCGGCTGTCTCACACTCACACCTCCATCCTCTCCTCCAGTTTGGGTCCTATGACCTCCAAGTCTCACATGCAACAGTACAGGAAAAAGTGAACTCTCACCTTTTTTCTCTCTGGCAATTTGTCGTACTCCTTCTCTGAACTCAGAAAGAACTTGGAGGTATGGCATCACTGTAGATTCAATCTGCAGGAGCATTATTTCCACAGTTAGCTAATCATCATTTAGACATAAAATATGTTCCTACCCTCTTCATATTTATGCGCTGTTGGATGGAACTTGACCCTCAGGGCAGATCTGTATCAATAAAAATTGTCATTGCTCTATTGATGTCAAAGGACAGATGACAATTTGCATTAGCTGTCAATTTTCCCCTTGTGCAGATAAAATCAGCTTGTCAAGTTCAGCCTCTCCCCATTCCTTTTTCACCTCCTTTCAGTTAGATCCATCACCTCCACAGGGTTATGACACCATCCAGCTAACTATAATGCAGTGCAGGGATAAAAACAGCACTCAGATGAATTTTCTCCTACAGGTACTGAAGGAGGCCCAGCTGTTTATCAGATAATAACACCATGTGAAGCTGCTATTAGGACTAATTTTCATTAGAACATAGATCTGTTCCTGAGATTTTTGCTTAAGCTAGTTGTATAGACAGTGCAATTATCTATATTCCTCATACAACTCCCTCTCCCACAAAGGTGAAGAAAGATTACTGTTGAATTATTTCAGGTGTAAGTAAACACTAGGCACAAAATCTTGGACAAAGTCCTGTGAGTCTGGTCTCAATGGCAGCGAATAGCAGCAGCAAGCAGTGAACAGCTACAAAAACAACTACAGATCAGTGTCTGCCATCACTTCTCTGGAATCCCAAGAGGAAAAGCCAGGCCCTTGAGGGAGAGTCTAAATTAAAAGTTTCATTACTTTGGAGGGTGGGGGAGAGGAAAAAAAGTTGCCAACTGTTGTCTATTCTACAAATTCCACATGTCTTTCATGTCTGTTTAATCTCCATGACAAAATTCTGTGCAATTAAGGGACAAGATAGTCTGTCATGCTGTTAAAGTGCCCCTACAAAAAGAAACAAAGCACCCTGCTAAAATTTTTATAAAAGTGAACACTGCAAACAGCTTCATAGTCAGATCCAGTGCTGACAAGTTTGGCCCAAGGAACACACTCTGGAAAGTCAAGAGCAGTCACATCTCCACTCGCCCTCTGCACTGGACGTACCTCTTCATGCAAATAAAGTGGTATGGGGAAAGCAGGCACAGTCACTATTTTATCAGTCATTTCAAAATGAAAGATTTTTATTTCCACAATAACTTACTTGAGAGAAATGCTGAATTCACTTGAAAAATGATATTAAGGAACTGAGGTTTTCTGACTTCAGATCTCTTATATCCATTTTTCAAGTAAATTATTGACCCATGGTAATTAAGCTAATTTTTGTTTCAGCACTTTTGAACTGGATCATGCCTTTTTTTGGAGATATTCACTCAATTGGTTCTTGCATCTCTAAGTTAAACAAGGAAACAACTGGCCTGACCCACAGCCTTCTGTAATTAATGATAAGTTTTTGAACCTTGGAAGTTCACCTCTAATTTTTACTAAGAAAAATAAGAATTTGCACGGAGGACTGAAAGACAGTATAATATTTAATGAAACAGACAAAATATTTGTGAAATTATGCATTTTTATATTGTAGTGCGTAACACCGGTATTGGCCTGGGTGATAAAAGCTTCTTGAGTGTAAGAGATGCTAGCACAATATTATCCTGACAACTTGTGCTAACAGTGTGGCATAATGTGGAATGTATAAACTTTTTTCAGAAAGGATGCCCTTTAATTTTTGATTTTTGTATCCTTTCAAGCCTAATCAACAAGAGGGGAGATGTAATCCCTTAAACAGTCAGCAGCTAACAAACAAGATCTAAGTGATGTCCAGGTGTTAGAAAAACAAACTACTTGTTTGTAGAATTGCCTTGTTAAGGTTTAGGGCTGGACATGCTACAGTGATCTCAGTCCTTAGGGGATGTTAACAAAACTTGGGGAGAAGGATGGACCACTGATAGTGGACACAAAGAATGCAACAAATAATTTATAGGCAATGAGAACACTTGGAAGAACTCCCAAGATAAGGAAGAAACTAATAAAGCCAATTCAGCAGCTATGCTGGATCAGCTCCCACTGGGTTAAAGGTAATTTCAAACACCAACTCAGGGACCATCAACCCAAGGAACCCACTGACACAAAAGAACAGAAAGACTGAGCATGAAGACTAATTAGCATGGGAAGCAAGAAAATTATTAACCAAGTGAGGATAGAATACAAATTAATAGGAGAATTATGTAACTTGTAGCCAATGAAAACTAGTTCCTTTGTTTGCTAAAATGCGTAACTAGTAAAGAGTTTTGATAGTTGGTGTGCTTGATTTGTGGAAAACCAACAAGCACCCAGGCTTGCACAACTCTGAAACAAATAATTAGTGTTGCTCTTGAGGGTGTAATTACTGGCTTGTTGCATATGGGTTACAAATCAAATTTTTGTGGACAACAACATGTGTTAACACAGGACTTTTTTATTTTTTTTTCTGAACAAGATTCTTCTCACTCTATTACCCTTAGCAGTGTTATTTTAAAGGAGTGAAAGGACTTAGCTTCAAGTTATCACCAATCCTTCCTTAAAGCATATCTACTGAAAACACTGCCTTAAGTGCTAAATATAAATTTAATTTTCATTTTCTCTTAAAAGGTAACTGTTAAAGTGCTACCTTTTTTCTGAAATCCAAAATAATTCTGAGCTAACTTAAAAAATCACTATTCACTATTGATGGGCTTTGTAGGTAATACTGATTTATTATACTGAAATATTATATCATTAATGGAAATTTCCATAACACACAAATGTAAGTATTTGCATTGGCAATTATCAGATGAGTGCTCATTCCCATTCTTCCAACCACAAGCAAGCTTGCCAATTCCTCTGATGAATAAAAGGTTATGCTTCTTTTTTTCCACCAGAAATATTTCACTTATTCCTTCTACGGAGGAATAGAAAGGTGCATGGTCACACCTTTAATGCAGAAAAATATGTGAAAAATAGCAGTTGTGTTTCCACAAGAGATTTTTGGCCCGAACAAAGTGTTGACAGCTTTCACATGGAGTTATCTCTCCTGCCTGCACCAGAAAATGTTCCAGTTATTCCAGAGCCCATCAGCACTGTCATCAGGTACCTCTCAGGTACTTCCAAAAAAATTCTGCACAGCAGTCAGAACTTCTGACTAAAGCAAAACAGCCTTTAAAAGCCACATAAAACTGTGGCTGCAAATGAGATCAGAAAAGAGATTGAAATGTGGATAAAACTCCAGCTGCCTCCAGGCTGGTTTCTGGTATACCACAAAGAAGTTTAATCAGTATAATTACATTTTTGAAACTACTTAGCATACAAATACTTGTAATGAGTCTTTAGACTGTAGCATGTGCTGCCTGTAGTTCACATGTGGTTTAGGAAACACACTCAACATTCAGAAGACAAGATAACTCTTTTTCTGGTTACTATACAATTTGTCTGTCATTAAACCAAACAAATCTATAAAAACCCCAACTCTTATAAAAGAAAAATCCTGCTTCCTAAGCCAATTAATTACATCAGATTCAAAAGCTGAAAGCAAAAAGAATGCAATTCAGCTACATATCAGTAATCTCATCACTTTAACCTAAGCTCTCAAAGGATACCAAGTAATTTTGTTTAGTGTATTTTGTCTTTCACTTACATTTATGTTTTGACTAGTCCCTCCAACAGGAAAACCAATTGCATCATCACTTTCTATGGCACCAAAAATCTGGTCAAAGAAAAAGAAAAGATTGTACACATCAATTCACAGGTATGTGAAAACTAAGCAAAATCACATATACAGGCTTTCAAATAGTTCTCATTTAACCCAGAATTCACAACTCTATCAAGACAATGTTCTGATTTATAATTGATACAACAAACAAAGTATTGGCTTTCAGATTTAGTTTTAAAGCTGTCAGATTTTTTGTTCTGACCTCATACTTTTTCGACTATCTAATCTTTCTTGAACATAATAGGGGCTCTCCCCCTATTCAACAAAACATTAGGTGAAAACATAATGTAACATGGAGGACTCAAAATTGTTCCTGCTGCAGCACACACTGCAGTTTGGGGTTGTTTTGGCTGGGGGATGTGTGGAAGATATTTAGTTTCCTGTAAGATTTAAACAAAGACTCTACAGATCCTGCCATACTTGAAAATACAAGTTATAACGGCACAGCGCAATAGCAACATTACTCCTTGCTGTTACATACCTTTAGCATTTGAGTGAGATAGGAGCTGATGTTTTCTAAAAGAAGTCTGTTCGGCATCTGTCTGGAAGATTTCTTTGCAGCAATATAGGAGTTACTCTGGCTGACTAATGAGCGCATTTCTTCTAAGACAGAGCGGGTATCAATATTGTCGCACAGTGCTTCATGAATTGTTGCTTTCTTCTCATGAAAACTGAGAAGAAAAAGATTTTTTTTAACTACTCCTGCCAAAACCCTGCAACATACTCTGAAGAGTCTCTGTTAGAAGAGTAAGGGGATGGCCTAAAAGCAACGTAACTTTTTGCTGGTTAGAGTTTGTATTTGAAGGAAAAAGAGATGAGCAAGAAAAAAGGCATTATCATGATGCTGCTGTTTTACTGCTATGGACAAAGGCAGGCAGGATAATCTAATTGGCAACGACTATCCAAACTAATTACATCACACAATTTTTCAGCAAGCCAAGCGGCCTTTTCATGCCAGTTTTTTTTTTAAAGCAGTAGAAATTGCTTATTTAGTATCTTCTTGGGCTTGTTTTTTTTTTTTTTTTTTTACAGTATTGCTCTTCTATCCCTGTGTACCAACCGAGTTCTGTTTATTATCTTTCCAGGAAGGAGCATCAATTTGGAAGTTAACACAAAGTGAATTCTTATATTCTTATGAAGATATTACAAGTAGAAAAAAGGAATTAATTCATGCAAACCTTTGTAACGTTAGCGACATGTCAGTAGGTATAATAAATAATACAGTACATTAAGTACCATTTCATGACACAAAGGTTTCATGGTTTCAAACAATGTCTTTTTTCCAAGAAAAAAGAAGTGGTAGAAGAAAGAAGACAAAACCAAAGATACTAAGCATATCTTCTATTCCTCCCACTTCTTTATCCATTCCTTTTGACCTCTCTATTACTTATCATCTCCCACCTTTTCAAAAAAGGGTGTTATCTCCACCAACCTCAAGTTAAAGATAAAATTTTCAGAGCACATGACTACACAGAAACATCTGCACTTAATCCTTCAATAGTAACATTAGTGATCACAACAGTGAACTGAACTAGGAAACAATTTTAGCACCACAATGTAAGATGCTTCTATTTTAAATTTCAGAGAAAACTAAAGTCCTTTAGGAAGCTTTTTGCATTACAAATAACAATGGCAGTATTGTTATAAAAGTCAAAAGACTGCAAAATTGATATCACTGTCTCAACATTATTTTCAAACAATGGCACTCATCTTTCATGGTTTTAGTCAGGTCATTTAACTTCTGTTTGTCTCAGATAACCTACTATACTTTGAAATACGTAAAATACTGTTTTTCCAGTTGTAGCCACTGTGAATTATTGGTCATTTCTCAGAGAGAAGACAAGATTTCACATAGTGACGAAAATTACAGCTACGTAACAAAAAAGTTCTCTTTCCCTTCACAAACATGGCAATGAGGCATGCCAGAGTACTTAACATAAACAAATGGGAAATTGACAGTTTAATCTATGCTTCATAAAGCTGTCCCAAAATTAAAATGATTGCTTGTGAAGAACTGGGATGTTAAGTGGGAATGCTACAGACATAAATATCAGTATACACATTGTAAATGATAATGTAAGGAAAAAAGAATTAAACATGAAGCAACACAATTCAAAGAGAAATAGGAATGCTTCACTCACTTTTTGTTCAGCTCTACTTCTTGATTTTCCCATTTCTGAAACTGTCCTGTCACATCAGTGGGAGCTCGAAGAATATCCTTCACATTCAAAAAGAACTCCTGTAAAAGAATATAGCTAGAAGTCAGTTTCAATTACACATAACCAATACTTACTATGAAAGGGCATTATTTCTTACAAGACTCTTAAACTTCATGGGACTTAAATTGCAGTTGGACTGCAACTCATTTTTATCTCTTGCTCTGTTACTACATGATACCCTACAAGCTGCTTATACAAAAAAACTTTTAAAAATGTTTAGGCAACAGTTCTTATGGCAGATTTTAAAGTATGTTGCTAGCAATGGAAGGTCAAGAATGAAATGGCTTTATAGCAAAGATCTGTTTTAAATGGGCATCCAGCTTGGTAAAAAGTCATTTTAACCTAATCCGTGGCCCAAACCAAACATTTTACATAAAAAGCAGAACAGCTTCAGCTGGAGAGACCAAGATCAATAATCTCAAAATGCTGTACAGTGTCCTTGTGAAATGTCAATCTAAATTATGGCTCCAAACTATCCAGCGACAGGAATTGTGCCTAACCTCTCACACACCTGCAAGGCATAGAGGCAACAGTGCATTGTTTGTGGTGAGGAGATAAAATAGAAACAATATCCCTCCTTCCCCTTTGGCTATATTTGCGCAGAGTCTGACCTGGTAGAAATGTTGAAGAGGGTGTGTTGAACTGATTTCTATAAGCAACTGAGAAATTGATCTTGTGTGTAAGTGCCAAGCTGCTCAGAGATGTCAAAACCTGGAGAGAGCACCCAGCTGTAGGGAAATGTAGCAATCTGTGGAATTTACAGGACTTGCACTGTGCCATCCCACCTGATGAATTCAGAAAGCACACCCAGTCTGGGAATATAGCCTACATATCCTTTGAGTTCTATTCCTTGAAACATACATGGCAACACAAAGGTAGAGAGATGGAGAAGAAATGAAAAACTTACTTACATTCATAAACTTCTCATATTGAATAGCTGACTCCATGGTATTATTTGAATAATCCAGTGTATCCTTCCAAGAGTGCATGAGGAAAGCCAGCCGTAACTGTCGTGCTAGTAGGAGGTTTAAAATAAACAAGGGAAGTTTTTATAAGCTAAACCATGGACTCCAATACTGCAGTGGCTAAGAACATAATCTTTAAAGTTCTTACTATCGCTACATCTACCAAAAAAGCAAAACCATTATCATCCATACTGATAAATACTAACAAGGATCAGAAGAACAAGGAAGCTGTTCTAAAGTTAGCGAAGTTACCCCAAATAAAAAAATTATCACAGTCACCACTCCAAGTACATCAAAAGCATTCCCATTCCAAAATAATTTTTACCTGTGTGTTTCTTCAGTGCATCTTTTATGGTAATGAAATTCTTCAAGGATTTGGACATTTTGCAGCCAGCAATTGTTAAGTGACCAGTATGCAGAAAATACCGAACCCAGTGATCATTTTCGAAGTATGCCTGCAGGAGAAAAACAAAACCCAAAGACCCAACACTATTTACATACATATAATGAAGTAGGAGCACTTAGAGAATAAAATCCTGAGAACTAAAACTCATGTTTACACAAAGCACACATCAAGTTTAAAAAACTGAATTACGGATCTGTATAAATTGCATCAAAGCAAAGCACGTTGCTTTATCACTGCAGAAAGGTCAGTTCATTCACCTCGGACTGTGCCAGTTCATTGTCGTGGTGAGGAAATCGGAGGTCAAAGCCTCCTCCATGAATGTCCATCGACTCTCCCAGAATGGATCCAGCCATCGCAGAACATTCGATGTGCCAACCTGGACGACCCTGTTAACAAAAAGGGATTACTTGGTTACTAGTAACTGTCTTCCTCTCCTCCCTCATGTTGTTACTATGAGAAAAGAAGATTCTCAGTCTCAGCTTCACAAAAGGAAAATGTTGCATTTAAAGATCCAACCTGGCAATATATCTGTAATGTTCTGATTATCTTGCTTACTGTTCTTTTAAAAGCTACGTTATTATTTTGATCTCAAGGGAGGAAAAGAAGGTAACAGAATTTACTGCAGATAAAGCTCGTCAATTAACAGAGGACAAACAAGTAACAGCCATGCTGAGCCTGCATGCAAACTTCTGCTTAAAATGTATCAGACTGATACACATTCTAGATTATTAGATGAACATTAATCACAGAATCTTGTGACTGAATACATAATCACCACAATTTATACAGTGTTAATATGAGGTGAGGCAAAAAGACTTGGGTAACTGTGCTATTGAAATAAGCGAGGAGAATACAAATCCTGATTATAATGTCCTTTCTTACCTTTCCCCATGGAGAGTCCCATGAGGGCTCTCCTGGCTTGGAGGACTTCCATAAAGCAAAATCATTTGGAGAATGTTTCTCACTTAAGCGATCAGCTGAGATGCTCAGGTCACCTTTCAAAAAAGAAAACGTAAATGTATACATTTTACACCAGCGTTACTGATTTTTGGCCTTGCTGTATCTCACATAAAGAGAGTCTTAAAAAAAAAATAAAATAAAAAACCCAAACTACAAACCCCCAAATAACTGAACCCTCAAAAATCCTCATTATTAACCTTGATAATCCTTTGGGGTTTTGGCTAATGTTTGGTTGACAAGTATCTGACAAGTATCAGCTGCACTGCTTTCTAAGTTTTGAGATGAGTTTCATCTACATTCTCTTACCAGGCACAACTCCAATATTGCAGTTATAGAAACAGAAATACAGAAAGAAAAAAACCCATACTCAGAGACAAGTGAGACTGCAGATTCAAGTAATTCCAAAGTTAGATCAATCTAAATTGAGAGTATGATTGTCTTAATCTGCACATACAATGTGATCATAAATATTTCTTCCCCTAATCTCAGCTGCTGCACAGAACAGTTGTATTTGTTCAATAGCTACATTTACTCCTCTGTTACCTACTGCTCTATGAGTGTCCTGATTGCACCTGCTATGAGTGTTTCATCAAAACCTTTTAATATTCTTTTTATAGGCTCTCAACATGATTTGCTAAAACTGTACAACTTTGCAAGCAGATAACTAATGAGTCCCATTTACTGAGCATTTTAAGTTAATCCTCTGCTATAGCTCTATTGAAAAAAAATCTATATTTGATTTGGTTCTATACAACAAAGAGCTCTCAGCATGAAAGAGGAACCCAAATGTTTGTCATGAAACAACCCCGGCATGATGTGGAGAACTTGTGCCTGGCATGTGGAAGACCCAGGTTCAAACCTTTGCTCCTACTATGAGCCAGATGAATGGGCAAGTAACTGGGCTATGGCCAAACAACCGAGTTATTCACAATTCTGACCAAAAAAACCCTCAACGAACAAACAAAAAGCAACCCCAAATCATCCCAGGATTAATAACATTTCTTGGTATTTTCCAATTAGAATTTTTCAGGAAAGTCCTGGCTTAAGCTACAGAACTTTGGCAAAGAAATTGTAAAGGAAATGCAGGTAAAGTATTAAGCTCTGACTGTGGCTGATCCCAACATCAGTGAAATGAATTGAAGAGACCAACACATCATCAGTTTCTTCAGCAACTTGAGCAAATCTTTACCTTCACCCTCTTGAAGAGCTTTCTGATCACCTACAGCTTCAGGAACCAACTTAGCATAGGAGTGTTTTTCACTGGCATCAAACTTCATAGTATCAAAGTATACGGATCCATTGGACACATACCTGAAGAGTTAAAGATCATTATATAGCAAACTTTATACCACAGCTTAACTGAATTTTATCTCAAAATCACTGTCATAAGTTTTCTAGTAACTCCACTCACATGATGGTACTGCTCAGTATTGTAAATATGACTTAGGTGAGCCAAAGTTTTAAGGCTTTACTAAATTAAGACTTTGGACAAATCATTGGAAGTTATAATAAAATTAACTGGAGAGAAAAGAGCAGCTATCTTTAAGCTTTTGAGAGGTATCAGGAAACAGTCACAAGAACTACCATTTATAAAAATTTATAGTATTTGCAATTGATTTCTAACTGTCATGTGTCAACTTTTGATGAAGACCAGGAATCAAAACAGTTCAAGTTAATGGGATTTGGACTTCGTTTTAATGAGCAAGGATTTCACCCTATAGTATATCATAATAAGCACATCAGGTGAAAAATAACAGCTCTTTGCAAAGAACCTTAAAATTTCCTTGTTTGATGAAAAATTCCTTCTGGGAAGGACTACTACTGTTGCAAATGAAAACAAAGAAAACAGCTCACAGCTAAATGCTGACAGCAATCATTCTGGCATCCAGTAGTAAACTTACCCATAGCCATTATCCACAATCTTCTTCACAAAATCCACAATTTCTGGCACATATTCACTAACCCGTGTTAAAACATCTGGAGGTAAAACCTTGAGGTAAAGAGTAGAATTATATATATATATAGAAATATGCACTAAACATTTATATTATGTACTGGTTACGATTTTGCTCATAAGCAAGTGATAATAAAATCTAACACTCCTATTTTAAGCTTTCTGCTCTGAAACAATGTGCTGTGGCCACTCTGTCCTCAGCCTTTAAGGGGATGCCAACTCTTCTGACAGAAGAGGCAGACAATTTGTAAATAAATCAACCTCCACTGACCTGAACCACTGCCTGGTGACACAGGATTTCATCAGCAACAGACAAATCTCTTCTTGATGGCTACCATCATGTAATTTCTTAACAGCTGAAGGCTCTTAAGTAGTCAGTCTAAATGCTGAAGTTGGCAGGGATCTCTTGTGAAGCCAACAGATTCCAGCTCAAACTTTCGGACTAGTTTATGATTATTTGCTCATGTTACACCAAGGGGGTGGCATGGAGAGCACGCATCAAACCTGATCACCAATTAAGTGATGTGCAACAACCACAACAGATTTAAGATTGTTGGGATGGAAACAGAGCAGGTGCTAATTTAACCCCTACCTCTTAGTATTAAAGGAATAACTTTATCAATAAGGTTGAAATATGAGATTCTTGAAGGCTAGTAAGGAGCTAAATTGTCTTCTGGGTACTCTAAGGCATGTCACATACATTTTTAGAAGATAAAATAGTTCATTTACTTACGTTGAGTGCTTTCATATCTTTATGAAATTCCCCTTCCCAGAATTTGGGGAGCTTTGAGAATATGGAATTGTCAGTCACCTGACTGCCAAATTTTGTGTCCAGCCAGTCAGACAGCAAGTCTTTGGCTTCTTCCAACAGTGTCTAGAAAACAATAATGATAAGAGCAACTGACCCAAGACTTGCCCTGCTTAAATTGTTGCCCTGCTTAAATCTTAAAAGATCTCATTCTGAACAGAGGTTTGCTTAAGGAGTAAGACATTTGCAATGAGACACTTAGCTGTGAATACAGAATAATCCAGGTTTCTACCACATTTTTATTGTATTGTCCTTCATAGATATAGACAAAACAAGCAGAGCAAGGAAGATAAAGTGTTAAGTGGTATCTGTTTTGATATACTGATCACTTAAATAGGCATCTGGAACTTACACTGTAAACACCAGATGGGACTTGCAGTTGTATTACATTTTCTGTTCCCCCACTGCTACTGGATAAGCTTTACTCTTCACATTGCTAAAAAGTGTCTGAAAGATTAATTTGGACACCTTTTATATTTAAAGGATACCTTTTAGTTTTATATTAAAGGATTTCTATTTCTGACACTAGGATATAGTGCAGAAGGTATGATTGCTTAGATTTTAGGTTCTTTTGAAATTACATTAGTTCACTATACACTTTTTTAATTTTTACACTTCTATAAAAGCACTTGATATTAGAATAGCTGGACCTTTTTAAAAAAAAAACAATTTAGAGACAGGGTCTTCTCAAGAAAGGAGCACATAGCCATGTGCACATAGCCACAGAACTAATCACAAATAAACTGAAAGTAAGAGAAGATGAAAATGGAAATCACTTACTAAAAGACAATAACTACTAAAAATAGTTATACTGACTGACTTGATTACTGGGACAGAACCAAAGTCAACATGATTATTTGTCACTAAATGTAATTGTTTTTAATAAAAATAATCCTGAGCACAACTTTGTGGGAGGTATTTTTGTCTCTGATCAGAGACAGAAACACTTGTGTGGAAAACTGGCACCAGTATTGCAATGTCAGAAATAAATGCATGCTCAGCAACCTATAATGAAACTAATTTATCAAGACAAAAATGTCAGAGAAAGTCTAAGTACATGCAAGAGCAAAATTCTCATTGTAAAGGTTAAAAAAAAAGGTAATTGATAAAAACAGCATCCAAAAACTCTGTAGCTGAAATTAAGAATCAAATTTCCTCTACTGAATGCAAAGTACTAAATAGTTCTCAGTCCCACAATTCTTCTTTCTATGAATTAAAGGTTCCATAATGTCTCAGGTAACTACTACCACCTACAAATTATTTTTAAACCTCCTAACAATTATAAGCCAAATATAAAATATTAAAAGGAGCTCAGACTTACCTCTTGACATCTGTTGATCTCTTCAGCAGGGTGCTTTGCTTGGACAGCTTCTTGTAGAGGGTCAAAAGCAGACTTCACTGCATTTTGAATTCTTTCCAACATTTGCTTTTTATCTGGGTCTGTTGTTTCATTTAGTTTAAGTGAAAAAGGCTACAATTAAAAATAAACAAATTAGAAAGCCAGCTGCAGTACAGTAGCACTGTGCTCCATACACAGAATATTATCTTAGCCACATTGTACCTTGCTAATGATGAATAAGACATTAAGCCACAGAAAAAGCTTTGACATCAACTACTGAAACATAAAATATGCTCCTCATCAGAAATAAAGGTGCAATCAGAAGATTTTAGTTCACATCCAGATTCATTTTTTCAGAAAGACTTCATAAATCACTACACCATCATCCTAATTACTGCTGTTTTCATTTTCGATGCAGCTGATCACCTTAATTGCACAGTTGATTACCACGAATTTGAAAAAGACAAGCTTTATTGTGAAACAGGGAGAGATTAAATGCAATGTTTAGGGAGTATGTCAGGTAAAGGTAGTTGGGCAAAATTTTCAGGCCTCCTATTCCCAGGCTTGCATTCTATTCATTAGAATGATAATCCCTTTGTGATCTGTAGTTCTAAAAATTATCAGAAAATCCCCTTCCCTCACCTTCACTCCTGAATACACTATTTATTAAATCCTTAAAGCTTCTGAGTCTTTTCTTTCCAAGGTCATCAATGGTACAAAAGGGAAACCTCCCAGGCTTTAAAATATTATGGAGAGATCACCATTTAAAAACTCTTTTAAAGGATTATTTTAAAAGTTTGAATTCTAACACACGAACATCCAAATGCTGTTTGAGCACTACATACACTCACAAATAAGCGCTAAGATCACAGAAATCAGGAATGCCTTTGAAAGAATTTGTCAATTCTAAAACAATGTAAAAATTAAAGTGATATGCAGTTCAAATAACATTTCTAATATGTGCACTAACAGAACTAAAAGAAGCAGACAGTTTAAGGAGGTAGCAAAGTCTGAAGCATTCTTTAGATGCTTGCCTACATTATTGAGTGAGAACCTAAAACACAAGCAGTGATTACCATACCCACCTCTGCGGCAGTTCTAACATCTTCAAGTAGCTGATCTGGTGTTGATTTGTTTTCTCTATATCGTTCAAAAAGGTAATTTTGTCTTGCTCTCTTGATGATCTACAAATCAGAAACACAAAAATATTTCTGTGAAGTGACAAATAGCTATACAAAGTGCAGATAAAATCTGTTATTTAGAAAAGGCATTTCTCTATAAATTTAACAAGCTACAAGAACTACGTGCAATAATACAAATCAAACACACCATACACAGTTAATGAACTACCTCAACAGAATCAATTAATTACCTCAACAGGTAAATGAAATAAATTATCTCCTTAAATACTTAGTTTTCATTATTTGTGACAATGTTCACTGTTATACAACAATATGGGGTTTGCTACCCCATACAAAACTGAGAAAATGCCTTTGTGCACAAAATGTATGTCTCAGTTAATAAGTGTAAGATTTATTTTGGCTTATCAAGTGGCAATTACATGTGACTCTCTGACTTCTATTCTAAAAGTTGAGCATTTTAGATTGCAATTTAAAAAAACAAAACCCTTACCTTATCATCAATATCTGTAATATTCATACAATAGAAAACGTCATATTTAAAATAATCCCTCAAGACTCTTCTCAGGATATCAAATGAGATGTAGGACCTAAAACCAAAAAGATACAGGGATGCTTTTAGTAAACACTTGTATCTGTTCTGTGCACAAACCATTTTAACCTCAATCAATAGCTGTGCAGCAGTTTTACTTTGCCTCCATCTTTTTTTAAGTTTTTAACCCTACGATGATAAAACATTATAAATGTTTTAATCTTAAATTGCAAGCATTGAGTTGAAAAAGACCATTTTCTAGTAATACACTCATCTCGATAATGCCACCTTCTAATAATCTTTTGCTTCCACTAGGCGCTGTTATCACCTTTATCAAAGTAAGGAATGCAATACCTGGCATGTCCCATGTGAGAAGCATCATAAACTGTTGGACCACAGCAATACCACAAGACCTTTTTTCCATTCTGAGGCTGAAACACTTCCTTAATTGAAAGGGAAGATACAATGGTCAGAAGAAATTAAACACATGACCTCAGGCCAGTAACACCCCACTTGGAGATTAGAACATGAAAACATGGATCATAATTACAAAAAATAAATAGTTATTCCATTCCCAACTCTACCATAAGTAAAGATCACCACTAGCTTTATCATGTAAGAGATATAATGGGGTGTGGCTGCCTATGTTCTACGCATTCTCATAAATCAAGATACCGGGTTACAACAACTTGGACTAAGCAGGGCACTATTCAAACTGTTTGCAAAAGCTTTTTTTCGCACTGAAAAAGGTTACACCCTATAATCAGTACACAGTTACTTGAATACTACATCCCATGTAAAATTAAGAGTCTTAATACTTCCTCTTTGCCAAAGGACTTTCAAACAAGACCACAAAAAGTTTTACAATTTTTATATTACAACTATATAATTGTTGAGACATTTTTTAACAGACAACATCTGAATAAAGAAACTGTGATTTTATTCTGCTCACACTGCCTACACTTACATGTATTACAGTTGAATGCCTGGCTAGAATGCATGACAACTTGAAACTGGCAACTGAATATTATGCAATATGCACAGAGACACACACTTGGAGTGTATATAGTATTAAACTTGCCCAGCAAATGCAGTTGACTGGCACAGAATTCCTGGCCCGTGCTTGTTAACATTCCACCAAACACAACCCAGAGACCTGACTACTGACAGGGCAAATACTTCAGAAACAAGGATTTGATGACTATTCTATTTATGTTTTTTGGGAAATCCCCACTTTCCCTTCATTTACTCACCTTACTGCGAGTCAGGCTGTTGTAGAGGCAGAGCCTGGAATGTTTTGTGCCTTCAGGGGGAGACCAGGGGGGCTGCACACGTTTGCCTTTACCTAGGAGAAAAGATAGTTTAAAGAAAACGAAAAAGACACTTTCTACAAGCAGATTTACAATATAACATTTTCTCCTTATCACATCATTATTTCAAAAGAAAAAAACCTCCACATCTAAATGGAGAAAGGAGCTTCAATCCTAGCAATGCTTCTGTTAGAACCTCGTACAAAGCCACCAAAACCAAAGTAAATTGTTTCAATCTAGTTTATTTTCTACACTCTAACTTGCCATTCCTATTAGCTTTTTGATCTAAGCACTGAGGAAGAGGGTACAAATGTAAAAGCATGCAATTCAGGTAAACTGTTACCATGAGTTATGAAATTCAATGAATCATTAATGAAGTTTTGGCAGTTCTGGGCTATATGCAACACCACTGATTCTACTGTGATGGCACATCACAGATCTCACACAGAATTTTCAAAATATTTCCAGAGTCCAGAGGTGGTCTCTAGAGCCAATATTGACAGAGTATGCGCATTCAGGGTGAGAGGGAGAGCTGACAGAAAGGCTTAGAAAGAACCTCAACTTTTTATCATGCATTGTTGCTATGTACACAAGGCATTTCTGAACACACTCATTTACCACCAATATGCTCCAGTTCAGCAAGAGGCTACATTTTGCCATTAAAGAGAGTAGATGAACCCCAGGGTAGTATTAGTGACAATATTCTTGCATTTGTTTTCTCTTAAATTTATAAGAAGCAACATAGCTGTTAAACTCATGGGGTTTTTCCAAAGAGAAGTATGAGCATGTGATTTGTCAAAGAGTTGCAGTTTGCTGCGTACTGCGCTGCTTACAGCTGTAATGATGTTAAACCAATTATGACATTAACTAGGAATGAAAGCAAACCAAGAAATTAAGAAATACGGCAAATTTGCCAGCTTAATAGACACAGCACTATCTTTAGGAATTCTCATGGTATGCATTTTAACTGCAATTAAAATATTATACAAACTATTTGTTTAGACACAAAATTGCCTTTCTGATCCTGTGTCTCAGGGCGCTCTTCATTAACCCTGTTTCCCTCAATATCTTCATATGCATATTTTGGCTGAAAACCTTCAAGTAATGTAAACATTCATGGTATAAAGAATGTTTATTTCTTCTTTATCTCTTCATCTTGTTTTTTTGAGTAACTGCCCAAATAAGAAAAAAATATGTTAGGTGTAGTACTGTGCCTCACAAAGGGACTCAATTTAATTTTCACACTAGGAATCCATGGAAACATGTGTCCATTCTAAACATTTCATTGCATGAGGTACTCCTGAACAGAACACCTCAAGTTCAAGAGCAGTCTCTCCATAACATGGGTCATACACCAAGGTATGGATTTGTTTACTCTTTGATTTACAAAGATTACTCTGGCATGCTTAATTGTGGCTAATGCTTCCCTCAGGGAAAGAAGCATGTGTGGCTTAGTCTAATAAAAGATAAATCTGTAAAGCTTTCTTCAGTTACAACCACATGAACATAAGGAAAAACCCAGATACTGCACCCCGTATTTCTCGGCTTGCGAGTTAGGTGTCACATTTTATCCACTACACAGACGCCAAGGGCAAAGTAGAAGGCTAGCAAAATATTGGTTAGTGTGGTCAAATACACCTCTGCCAGCCTACAGACTGTCCCCTGGTTGAACCGAAGTTCGCTCCAATCCATCATGGAGTTTTCTGGTACAGCAAAAAAAGAACTATGAAGTGTATTCAAGGTCTAAGAAGTATGGCAGATTTATGGGTTATTTTCATGGTGAACAATGCGGAACACCATTCCAGGACTTCTGAAATACATGCACGAGGCGTGAAGATATAACCCTTCAGAAAGAGAGATTGAACTTAACAGAAGGAGAGATGTAAGAGAGTAAAGATTTCATTATCAGGAAAATGGAAACCTTTTCTCTTATTGCTCCACCCTGATCCACTGAAGTCTACAGACAATCTGCAGTTAGTGGATAAATCTGCTATCAGAGCCAGGGGTGCAGCTGATTTCCCTTCTCTGCTGGAAGGAAATAATAACCAGCACAAACACTTGCAGGCACACACAACACACAGAGAATTTACTCACAGCAGTCTGATTTTAACTGCTGGTCTGTTAGGAATTGAGAAGACAAATGGTGAGAGGTTGTGAGAAGATGGCATTGGAGTAATAATAGTTAACAACCACCAGCAAGAATGACAGACATGCATACATTTATAGGTATTGCAAGCACTATACAACAGCTCTGCGTTGTTATTTTTCATTACCTCATGACTCCCTGAGCAAGGATCTCACTATAAAGCAATTAAATTAGACTAGACCATTGGGAAAGAACTCAGGAGAGTGATGCAGCTCCCAAAAATGCCTGCCCATGCTTACACAATGACCTAGATTAACCAGTTAATACTTCCTCAAATCATCAGCAAGCCTAAATTACCAGGCTTAAAAAAGAACCCCAGACATTCTTTGTGAAGTTCAGTATTAATAGCAATCATAAGAGGAAGTATTCAGTTTATTTTATTGTGGATTTGTGTATTATACAACAACTATTTGGTTAACCTTGCAAAGAAAAAAAGCAAGACTGGGAAAATCTTGGTATTTCCAGGAAAAAGCCCAAACCCACACATTCTTTTACAAACCAGAAGAGAGACAGCTTTTTTTAAAAAAATACACGTAATCAAATTCTGTACACTGAGGAATTTTAACATTTTAAAAAAATTGATAACAACTTTTACATCCCAATAGGTCAGGATCTACCAATTACACAGTAACTGTATGCAAGAAGAATGTTATGACTTTGAATACAAATTGATACTGTAAAGTGCAAGAGAGCATGAAAGGGAACTTCTCAGCAATAACAACCAATACAATGTCAGCTAGTCTACAACCTGCCCACCAGTTTCATATTACTCACTTGTTTGAAGTTTACAAGGCTCATTTTTTTCACTGCTGCCATCATAGATTGCTTCTATGTGTCTGTACCACCGGACAACATGGATATACTGGTCCACAGGTGGCCCCGAAAACTTTCTGAACACCTCCACATCTGCATGTGAAAATGTGAACCCCTGGATATAACTACGAGTGCTCAGGTACTCGTTCAGAGCCTTCACCCTGGCTTCCTCTTCACTAATGCTCAGAATAAAACTGTAGCTGGAAGCTGTAAAGAGAGGCACAGGACATTTGGTCAGCATTAAAAGTAGGAGATTCCATGACCAAAATATATCCTTATAATATACATCTCCCCCTGTAAATTAGCTCTGACAACTAGTAAGAAATTTGAGAAAATTAGATTTAATACAAGCTACCAAATTACTATGTATTTCCTGTTAACAAGATATGTTCATGCTGCCATAAGTTTTTGAAGACATCTTTCAAAGAGTAGTAAGGACAAGAACACAGGTCTTTTTCATTAAGAATATAATCTACCGAAATTGGAGAAAATCCTTCACACAGAGCAAACCTAATCAGTCACTCTTTTCCACGCTGCTAAAGCACTCATCCTGCCAATGTTTGAATATGATTCATTTTATGCACTGTGGAAAGGCTGCAAATATGTCTACTGAACTTGAGCATGTAGTTACATCTTTGCACGGATGTTGCCTGCATGCAGGCTCCCAGTGTGATGCTCAGCTCCTCCTACTTGCCCTAGAAATTCAAACTTCAGCTGCTGCTGTACATTCCCATACTTCTCCCATGCCCCTTTCTCTCCTTGGGCACACGAATAACATTTAAAATGAATAAAATCTACACAAATGAACAGAAAGGATATCAGATTGTGCCCCTCTCTCACAATTTTTTAATTCCATGATTTCTTTGGTGTATAGGCAAATCAGGTTCAGTTATATCCTATCTTGACAAACTCAGGGACATAGTGGAAAGTTCTGTGAGTTGGTGGGAATGCTCACTGGAAGAGCAAGCCCTGTGCAAGCCAGTGGGTACAAAACACTGATGTTATGGCACTGGGCTAGCACTGCCATTAGGCAAACCCAACATTTACATTCTCCTACAATGATTCAATGTTTGTAGCTCTGTTCGTGCTCAAAGAACTGCACAAACATGAAGGCAATATTCTGTCTAGGTAGTCAGCCAGTGAGGTAATTTAAGCCAAGGTCACGTGCAGTAAAGTGAGAGAGGCAGTAGGAGAGCACCTGCTCCCAAACCCCAACAGAGACCACAGCCAGAAGTGTCACTTCTCCCACTGCCAGGAATATCTGCAGCACAGAGTTCCCAAAGCATGGAGGTGCTCACAGAACACAACTCTTGGCAAGGCAGGAATGAAAGGAGATGGGAAAGTGATGGCTAGGAGTGGATGTGAGGGATGGCACAATTAAAGTTTTTCCAAATATCATCAGATAAAACTTTATGAACCATTTTCTATATGGAAATCAATTATTAAAATATTCAACAGCAACTCAGGATAACAGGGAAGTGGCAGCTAGATATCAAGCATGTTTGTATTCAACTCTTTGGGGTATAAATGAGATGTAGTGACACGTTGGGAGAACTAATAAAAAAGGTCAATGATTAAACCAAAAAAATTTAAAAATCAAAATTCACTGAAGATATTTAAAATCTGTGAGCAAAAGAAGACAGATCTATCTAAATATAAATCCTTCTCAAGGCCTTTCCATTTAATTGCTCAGTACTAGTAAGGACTAATAAGGAAATAATGGTTCGACCTTATAGGCTTGCCTTACTCAGCTGAATGGGATTCAGCTTTGGCTCACTCAGTTCATTTGACTATAATCTTTTCATGCTTCTAAATATTTACTGATATTTATCAGCACAGAACTTCACATGTTTATACACATTAAATAGTTTGAAACAGTTATGTTCATTAACAGTGGAAACCTAAGACGCAGGTCTTCCTTGAAGGTGGATTTTGTATACATGAAACATATGTGGGTGAAGGCAAAAAAAAAATAAAATAAAGGTATTAAAAGAATGATCTGGGCAGAGATGAAACTGTATCTCAAAGAAAAGATCTTTTGCAAGGAAAAGCAACATTCAATTTGCAAAGTATTATTATGGTTATTATGACCATTATTCACACATCAGGCTGCTAATGGGAAGCAAGTCAGTGTATCTGAAACAATATAAGTGTTTTCCAACCACATCTGTAAACCAATCTAAAAGGGAAGTTGCCCAAACTTACACACCAATACAACAATATGACAGCACTCATACAAGCAAATTTTGGCAAGGAGAGGTGGCAAACACTGCCTGTGAATGTCAGTACCAGCTCAGCACTGATAAGCTTAACAACCAAAAAGTTTTTGAGCAATCTTGGCACTGACATTAGTACTTGAAATTATAATGTTTGGCAGGTTCCCTGTCCCATTCCCAGCGTTCCACATCAGTTTCACAGGCTGTGCTAAGTTAATGACTATGGTAACACTGTCTTGGAAGGCAGTGTAGCAGTGGATCACTTTTTTCAAACAAAAGGAATCAGTGACAGCTGTCTACACAAAATTCTGTTCTGGTTTAATTGATATCACGACTAAAAGAAGAATAGTAAATCTACAGAATCTGGTTTTCTGTGATTTCCATTCTGCATCCTTAGTTCCCCCTGTCCTGCAATTCCTTCAATTTATTAAACACTCCCACTGAAATATTTCCTGGTACCTCCTAAGTGCTGCTACATGCTATTTTCCTGCACACTTCAGTATCCCCATCATCCTGCAAAGCTCCAGCTCATCTTTGCTCAGTCTGCCAACGGTGTGCAAGAGGCAGCTGCCTACTGTCAAATTAATTGATCAATTACTACCAATCAACGGATTCAAAAACTATTGAGGGAGAAGGGCCAATGGATATATGTACATCTGACCCACTTTCCTTGTTGCTTTAGGAAAACAGGCTGAGGAATTGCCCTTCTCTCTAACTGCAATTTTTTTCCGTCCCCAAAATAGAAAAACGACAGTTGTTACTACTCAATTGCATCAGGAAGTGTCTCCTTGACAGCAGAAACACAGGAGTACTACAGAGCTGTTGCATAACACTGAATTTTTGCTCATGTGAACAGAATGATCCATAGATATTGTATCACACAAGAGGAAACAAGCACTGAGCACAAGTATTGGAGAGATAGCAAAATAACCTTGAAAAATCACAAGAATTAATGTTAACAATGTAACAGTAAAACGTTGTTTCAAAAAAATTCCACTGCAGACATCAATTAATACAGTTCTCACTCACCCAACAATCTCTTTGGGTGATATAATCATCACACATTCTTCTTTCCAAACATGGAGTGCTTCAGAGACTATTAAAGGACAGTGGGAATTTGTCTGAGAGACTGCAGCAACACACAGATTCAAAGACACAGGACAGCTTCTACACTTTATTTGCACATGAAGTATCTTTTGAGGTTTAATCAAGACACATAACCCGCAATATCAAATTTCATTGAAAATTTTCACTTTTATTAACTTGAAAATTAAAACCTCTGCTCCTTGAAGGTGCGGACAGCAAAGTAAATATAGGAAAGCTATAAGGTAGGCAGTAAGCTAGCTGACACAAAAACAGGGAGTTTCTTTGCTTCAGGGTAAAATTATGTTTCCTGGGCTTCCCTGAACCTGCTAACTCTGTCAGTCATAATTAGATGGCAGTGTAAATATTCTGGAAATTCTGTAGGCATTCTCCAAAAAGAAATCTTACCCATTTCTGAATGTTTTTAAATGCAATTTCTCATCCAACTTGGCTCTCACAAATTTAAGACAACCCACAAAAGACAAATATAACATTATTAATATGGCTCCAAACTGGCTATTTATCATTCTGCCCAGCCACCCTGGTACCTTTGAAAAGAATTCCAACCATCTGCTCAGCCAAGATAAATTCTCCTTTTCCATTAACATTTCACAAGAACCAAACCAATGCAGTGATTCCAGCTAATGCCAGACACAGCATACACAGAGACAGAAAAACAAGGGATTTATCAAGACTCACACATAACGAGCTAGAGGCTTTTAGATGAGCAGGGATTTTTAAGACAGGAGTATCCCACACCAAGGAAGAACTTGTCAATCCTAATCACTTGAGTCCTGAAAGTTTCACTTCCACTTTTCCTGAATCGAAACTAAATATAACAATTGCAATTTCAGTAAAAAAACCCCACCCTAACAAAACAGTGGCTAAAGAGTTTCGCAAACTGCACCTGAATTGAGCCTTTCTTGGTTTTTTTTCCCCACAAGATACTGAAAAGACTTCTGAAAAACCCAATCCCTTGACAACAAGGAATGTTTCACTTTTAGTGGGAATTTATTCACCACATTACACACAATGAATAAAGAGCAAAGTAACTTTCCGTAACAAAGAAAAAAGGGGAAAAAATATTTGTATTTACAGATCCTTAACTGGAATGACAGAAATTTCCAACCTTTTACATACCATAATGGTATTTCATACTTGCGTGACTGGTATTCCAAGTTTCCACTTGCTACAGAAGTGCCAGAAATTACAGTACTAACCTAGCCCTCCTTCCATATGGAAGCGAAAAGTACAACCAATCATTAAAACACGACCACAAAAAACGTCCGTAAAAGTCCAAAAGTTCAGGCGTGAGTTCAGGGGAGAACACTGATGGCTTGGGAAAGACAGCACGGGAGACACAGAGAGAGGTGAAAAGCACGGACGGCGCGCCGAGCAGCGCACGGCCCGAGCGCAGCCAGCGAGCTGGGGGACAGCTGTTCCCAGACGTGGCTGACGAGCAGCTCCGAATTTTCTCCACAGGTCGCTGAATGTCAACATTACCCGTGCACCCGCGGCGAGGCAAGAGGCGAGCTTCATGCCGCGGGACCCAGCTGCGGCAGCGGGGCGCCCCGGGCGCGCCCCACGCCAGCGGAGCCCAGGGGACGCGCAGGGGAGGCGACCCCGC